AGTATTTACCTAGTCACGAAGTGGGCTGAAAGTGGATGCAACAAAATCAATTTACCAATTGTGCGTTGCAAGCTTCCCAAATTACACGCCCTGCAACAAATGGAAGATCACATAGCAGCATCTCTGCACAGTAGGCAAAACGACTGTGCGAACTAGGCTCCATGAGGCTGTAGATCAGACGCGATCATGTCTTTATCGTCTTCGTCATGGTGACTAATGCGCAAGTACGTGGAGCTTTGTTCGAGTCCCACGTAGGAAAGGCGCGGCGTATGGGAGTACATCCGAATGTGTAACGTTGAGGTCTCACTTTTGCATAGCGGCCCGTGTGCCATACTCAGGAACACAGCCTTAAATCGCTTGTAGATGCATTTCTTGACATAGTCCGTGGTACGCTGCAGACGAATGGCTGTATGAATTACGTACGAGTTGATGTCGCATAGCAGACCGACTGGATTACTGCATGCACCCCCAAACATCGATCAAATACTCAAGTTCCAGACAACCGCTTGTTTTAGACCATAGAGAATGCGTAAAAGCTCACACGCCATACCCTTTTCATCCTTGATACAACAAGGGGGTGTTATTTACACATTCTCTTCCAGATTTCCGATGAGAAATGTAGTCTCCACGTCAACCTCTCGGATCTTGTATCTCTTGGCAAAATACACCCTTAGAAAAACTCTAGCAAGACTGGTACTTTCAACAGGTGATAAGTGCGGAAACAGTCGATGTCTTGTGCATACAAGAAATCATGTGCAACCAACCGCGCGTCGAAACGGATCATATTACCACTCATTACATTTTTAAGGAAGACTCACTTGAAACTGATTACTTTAAACCACGAGGCCGCTTAACCTAATTCCAAGGATGATCCAGAGTATGAGAGTAAATGACGCTATGGATTGCTTCTTCCCACTGCTGAGCGTCATGAGCAGGGATTGCTTCTTTGTAGTTTTGCGTAACTTCGCTTGCAGAAATCGCAACCTCATATTCACCGAGGCGGGGCAGTTTATCGTGTCTTTCGTTCACATCCGCATCATCTTCATAATAAAATGGTACGGTCGTTTGCTGTGAAAACCCCTCAATGCGTGACACATGGTCTTCATTATGCAGTAGAAGGAATTCATTAAAGGCACGTGACGTAGGCCGAATAGAACCACCACTGGAATACAAGTTGGTTTGAGTTATCTGCTGCACGAAAATTGATCCATGATGTATTCCATCCCGCGTAAGAACGCCAACCGATCGACTAGTCGTCTAACTCGAGTGGAACGAGTGGCTTGGTCATCAGACGATGATCATTTAGAGCCATCTAAAGAACGATGCAGTCATCCGCGTTAACATAAGTTTATACCAGCTTCATTACCATCCATGTCAATATCTCCATCCGCATTTGAGAACTGACGTAATCGTGAGCATTTATCTCATCTACATCCGTAGCTGTAAGGGGGAAAGTCTGGGACCGACACGCAATCATTAAGGTCATCATCACACGCTAACGATTGTCGGTGGTTATCTTCACATAAGCAACTGTCCGACGAGAATCAGGCGATAGGTGGTTTAGAATGACAGTACGAGTAGCGACAATTTTTTTTTGGTATCACACACTCGGTAACCCTTGGACGCTTCTGCATATCCAAGAAACATGCAACGATTGACCTTCGCGGACAGTTTCGTACACTTCTATCCTTATTCGGTAGGACCCATCCGAGACGAAGACACGAAGATAGTTCAGCACTGCTTTGGTTCCGGCCAAAATTTTATAGTGGCTAACATCAGGACGAGCACTGCTTGGAATTCATTTCAAAATATGGGCGACAGTCATTAGTGCTTGAGCCCACAACACGCGGTCAACGTGCATATGAAGGAGCAAAGGTCGTGTATCTTATCCAAGAGAGTGAATCATCCGCTCCGCAAGCCCAATTTGTTGTGGAGAGTACGGCGCTGATGTCCGGTGTAAAATCTGTTCAACACGCACGACTGGTTAAATCTCTTACTTGTGTATTCGCCGCCCTTACTGGAGCAAACCCAACGGATTTGGCGTTATACTGTCTGGAACGCCTCCGATGTTGCTTTTATGGGATAGACAAAAATCATTTGTAAGATCCAACAACAAAAGTAGCATTGTGTTTGCCACCTCTCGATACTGGTTGAATGAGCCCCATGAACTCACTACGAACCAGCTCAAAAGGAATAATGTCTTCACATCACTACCAGATGAATGAATGGACGGAATAGTGGCCATCTTTCCACGTCCACCCGTGCATAGACCGAATTCTTCTCGTCATCGTATCCGAGATCAGAAAACCCCTTGCAAGCCTTGGTTATCATCTCTTTTGTTTAAGTTGTAGACACATGACCCATCCTAGCATGCGTCAACACTCTACCAATATCAGCTGAATGCATTAACGTTGCGCTATAAGCGGCATTCGTAAACTCACGTCCAGCCCGCCACGCAAACAGTTTCCAACCTTACAGAATACTACCACGACTGAGTCATTCAATGAAACGTGGCTCAGTGCGTGTCCCTGCTTAAATTAAACCACGATACCACGAGCAATCAGATCTCACATCGTCACAAGCTTGGCGCTAAGCGTCAGAACATACGGGACGTCTGTTAATCTCGCTGTAAATCATTCTCAACAAAAACGGCGAACACTACCACGACCTTTGACTTCCATTTGTTGCTATGCCACTGTTACACCATGATGATCACCTGTGCCACGAAAGTTGATAATTGCTTCTGTCACTAGTCATATGGCTGCTTGTACCGCGGTCAGGTAACCTTGTCTCTCGATTTTTCTTACTCGTTCGAGTCGTAGCCATGGTAAAAAAATACCCAACACCTTTCCAAAATGTATTTTGCGACAAATAACATTTCTATTTCCATTCCGCTTACGCTTATGACAGCGTCCTCTAAACTAGCCGCTTTGTGTAGCGGAGCTACCACAGCTATAAAGTCAGAGGAAGACTTTACGGGTTGAGCCAGAGGCTTACGGCTAATAGTCAATTAGTTCTAAGGAGCTAATATATCAAGTTAAAGAGACGGCTAGTTATACGGAACTTAGCGCGGACTCTATGAGCTATTAGCTCAGACTACTGTAGTTCTAAGGAACCACACGCAGAATGTGCAAAGAGAAATTCAGGCGTCTAATGACTCTCTAACCCACGACAGTTCTACGGAACTGTCAAGCGCAACGTGCGAAAGGGTGGAAGTCTACGGACTTCTGCTTAAAATGAGATCTGTATTTATTCAGATTTTACATCAAGAAAAATCCTACTTTAAGTGCCCTATATTACACTAAATTAGAACTAATGCAAACATCAGTATTCGAACTAAATGGATAGTTGGCACATCACTCAGTCATCAAATAATGACGGTACAAAGTACTTCCTCGGTAATTACCAAAACTCCGAGAATACCGACCAATCGGTATTCTCTATTGATAAAAAATCTGAGGCCACACTTGTCTCCCATATTACTTATGGGGGGTCTCCAGGCGAGTTAGCTAATGACTATTGTGACCCCGTTACACCTCGACCATTATCTAAATATCCATGGGGTCGGCATGCAATACGATACGCGCTTTTTTTTTCCTGTCCCTTGAAGACTAGTGGCTCGAATGACATCTCTTTGGTGTTCGCTTTTGGAGCGTCTCATTCTCTCGCTGGAGCATCTCTTTTCCTTCTAGTAAGGTCGCCTCACTTGTTTCTCCACTGATCAATTTTACCGCATCATGCTTTTGCAGAAGACTATCCAAGAGAGCCACTATTTTACATTGTCGCTGATCATCTCGCCCACAGAAGAAAGCTACAAACAGAATTTATCGGAGCACATGCGATGTGTTGGATCTATTGTATCACATCCCTCCTACAGCCAAAGTCTATTCATTTGTTTTTAAAGCTGTAACTTAATCGTGGAGGTTCTGCTTCGTAGGCAAGGACCGGTGTATCTCCCACGCATCACAAGTAAACTGTTATTCTCTGACCATGGTCTGAAACGTGAGAGGAACTAATTTGCCTATGATCATCAGAACTTTTAGATCGTCGGCTTTTCACGTACTTGACTGCTACATCAGCTCTAAATTAACCATTACATGTCGAGATCTCCATCTCTCGCCAGTTTATATGCGCGGTACATTTTCAAACAGGTAAAATCCAATAAGTGACAATGTCACCTCAAGCTGTGTATTTAGGGCTCTTAACCTTACACATAAAACACGCGTGTAGTAACGGGGCATCCTGTTTTTGGTGTGCCACGAAACTTCACGTACAATCTCACAAGCAGAGGACGCTAATCTACTCCAACTGTTAGTCTAAATAAAGGTAAAAAGAGTAATGTATTTATTATAGATAAGCTATCAATGTAACTTCAGTCTTTATCAGACGATATAGACCTATAATTTCGAATGATGACAACCTGCTCACCACTTATTGCGCGCGTAAAGGAGCAATTGGTGGTAATCTTTGGTTAATATGTCTTATATCAACCAATCTTGGAGCAGCGCATCAATATTATCTAAAAAGGGAATAATGTTCCTTCAATATTATCCATCCCGGATAATATCGGTAGAATATTGTCATGCTAGACAATATCCCTATTGACACCGTTTGGTGTCAATCTCATGTAACGGCCTACCTCGTTACATCACCCCCCCTAACCATCGATCACCCGTTGATTGAATTAGAATTTATTAAGACAGGGTGACCACCGTTGGATCACTCTGTGAAAGGGAGCACTTGTTGGTCAAATCTCATTCATCTGCCAATCCAACGCATAGTTTCAAAACCACGCGAGCTGCTACTGCAGCATCAAGAAAGGCAGCTACACGCATGCGCGCAGCCGCTGAAAGTGCCTCTCACACCTCAGTAGCAGGTGAGTCATCGCCTGTTGTTCTAAATCGTCCACGTGGTGAGCCTCCACGTGCGACAGGTCCATCCGCTGCGTCTGCAGCGGGTACCACGAGTCGTAATCAAGATGAGTATGAGATAGAGCTCATCTATTCTGGCGAGTCAAATGATGCATCCGACTCGAAGGCGACACCTCCCGTCTCTGGATCATCAGGGGCGGACACTGCAAGATCCAGGTTGACTGGCTCTGGGGAACGTGGCGGCATCATGTCCTTGATTTTCGGACTGAGCGATTCTTCCGACGAATGCTCATCTCACGCAAGTCCATCCATCGATAGGACGCGTGGAGATGGTGGTAACGCACCTATACATCACCACGAGCGAAGTAACTCAAGGAATCGAGCTGCTACTGGTGTCAGTGTTCATGCTGACACCACTCAAGAGACCAGTGACCGCAATGTCCTGCGCCATGCTCCTCAAGTGGAGTCTTCTTGGATGCCATCACTAAGAGGAATTAAACGAGTGGTCGGCATGACCACCAAACGGGATCGTATCCCGTTGTTCGACTGTAAGAGGATCTGTACTCCAAACTCCAGCACGGAAAATATCCGTGTTGAAGAAGGTTTCTTCGCTGATGGGCTCTTTAAACACCGGTGGTACTACGGCAGCCGTGGCCGAGATAAAATAAGGCAGCAATGCAAGAATGGAATGCCTCCACCCAAACCTTAAAGTGCATTGGCCGTGAGGACTGGATCTGTAACATTGATGCAGCTCGTATCAGGTATAAAAAGCGTAACCTATCCGGTGTACGATGCAAGTTGCACCGCCTGTCAAGAAAGGCGGGGATACCCTGTCTCTCGTGGGGTGAGCCAAGCCCAGGCTGCCTGGACAATGCTAATCGTTCCCCTAGGGAGGACTACTTCCCTAATATTTCCTACTTGAGGGCGCACATCTCTTCTGAGATGGTCGAAGGATTGACACTTTGCAATCCTTGTACTCGCGTTCGAAGAGGTCGTTTTCCGACGGCCCTTCTTCGAACGCAGCGGGTGGGACTCGTCGTACTGCTCAACGAGACCAGAACATTAGTAATCAGCTGGGCGACTCGCGCCCTTCTATCTTAGACCGGTGGATAGCCACGCCAAAGGACGATGAAACTCGTCTGACGCCCTTCACATCGCGGTGGTTCACGATACGCTCCACCGGAAAGCGTTAAAAGCCGCTAGAATCCACTAAAGGATGTGATGGGGCAAAAACACGTGATCCGGCTTGAGGTTCGGATCAGATTGATGTTTAAGAACTGAACCGTGTAACGGGACAGTTACACGATGACTTGGCTCATGAACGGACTCGGCGTTATTGGCTTCATGAACTTGTAAAGGATAATTGCAGTTCCTTAGCGCACGATCGTTCAAAAGGTCGTGCCGCGTTTGAGTTTGCGCAACTTGAAAAACGAACGTTCAATTCGTTCTCTTCATGACGATCTGACTGCGGCTCGTAGGGACATCGCTCAACTGCGTGAGCAGGTTGGTTCGATATTCAAAGAGACTGGCTTTTGCAATGGAAGCGCTCGAAGATGGTCATGGCTCTTGACCGCGGAGGCGATCTTCGCATCTCGAAACGGGCTCATACTGATAGTACTGGCGGAGACGTCCAAATCCAAAATGTAAAATGCTTAAGTATCCTGCGAGGCAGTTCAATCGTGCATGCACTGCCCATTTGACTAGGTAAATACTGTTGATTACGAGCATTGGGCACAAACGATATCCGAATTCTATTTTCTGTTTATTCTTGTAATACTGCCCTGTAACGGGGCACCCTGAAGCTTGTACTGATGACAGTACAAGCTACTTATTCTGATGACAGAATAAGGCGGTGCCTCGTAACTTCACGTACACTCGTACGTGCAGAGGAAGACGGTAAGAAGAAGCGAGTACTTGGTTAAAGTAAAAAGTAGAACTGTATTTATCATAGTTAATGTCTGTTAATAAACTACTGTTTATCCTCATCTAACTATGTCTGAATACAAATGTGCATATCAACTATCTGCTCACCACTCATTGCGTGCGTCTGTCGTGGCGCGTCTTTGTTTGGTTGAGATAATGGCCTATATCAACCAATTAGGAACTACTCGTAAGTGCTACAGAACGTTTGTCCATATGACAATATTCTGAGAATACAATTCTAATAGTTACATTCTATTAACAATTTCTTATAAATTGTTATGTAACGATTCACCCCGTTACATCACCCCCCCCTTAACCATCAGTCACTTTAGTGACTATTTGACTAATTGGATACTCGTCCCAAATCATTTGGGACAGGGTTTGCACTTGTTGGTCCGAGGCCACTTCCCAACAATTCATCGCATGGTTAACAAGCACATGCGGTGCGCGAGCAAGGCCGCCGAGAGCGCGTCCGCACGTCTCTGTGCGGACGCCGAAGCAGAAACCACAGCAACTGATGTATCATCGGTTGCTGAAGCGACTCAGACTGTGTCACTTGGTGATGCAGGCGCTAGTCATGAAGACACTCATGTCTTCACAGAGTATGAGCTCGGTGTCTCATACTCTCCCGACACGGAAGATGGATCTGTATCGACGGCGATCGAAACCAAGCCGCCTGCCAAGCGTGGCATGGATGATGCTATGCGTCGTAGCATCTTTGGTTCATGTGATGAATCAGATGAACCATCGCCGAAGCGAAGGCGCTCGAGGTCGCGAGACTCGGGCGCTAACAGTGGTGTCGGTTCTCCTATTGACACCACTTCACAGCGAGGTACCAGTACTTCTGTCGGCACATCGCAGGAAGAGCGGGACCGCAGTATGTTGCGTCTCGCTCCTGAGAAGAAGGCATGGATGCCTCCCAAATCCGTCATGGATCACTTGTCGGCGACGACGAGTGATCGTTATCGAACACGGTTGTTCGATTCGTCAAGGATCCATCACCTTGACCCCAGCGCGAAAACCTATCGCGCTGAACATGAATTCTTCATCGATGCTTTCTTCAAACATCGATGGTACAGTGGGAATCACAAACGTGATGGTCCCTCGCTGCTTCAAGCGTGGAACGCCTACATCCATAACCTCGAGGATGTAGGTCGTGACGCTTGGAACGACAAACTTATCAAAGCTCGTGATAAGTTTGAAAAGCGAACCCCGACAGGTGCACGCTACAAGCTGCATCGTCTGTCAAGGGAGAAAGGATTACCCTGCCTCTCTTGGGGAGACTCGTGCCCATGTTGTGTGAACAACTCTGCGCGCGCACCTAAGGAGGCTTACCTCCTTACTAGCCCGTGGTGGCGCGTGCGTATCTCTACTGAGATGTACGAAGGGATTGACAACCTGAAATCCCTTTACGACCGTGCCGGGAAGACTTTCTCCGGCGGTCCTTCTGCGGCACAGGATGTGCCGCGTCGTACTGCTCAACCAGACCCAGTACGTCAACCATCAGTTGGGAGCGGGGCTCCCAAGTATCCCAGGACGGGGATAGCCGCGCCACCGGACGAGATAACTCGTCCGACGTCCGTTCACGTCGCGGTGGTTCAACATCTGCTCAACTAGATAGCGCTGGCCACCACGGGAGTCCTCTAATGGAGGTGGAGGAGGAGGAAAGACGCTCTCCACACGATCATGTGGATCGGTGTGTTCCCGAGAGCTTCTTTGATCGCGTAACGCAAGGGTTACGCGACGATCTCGAACATGAGCGGAATTGGCGTCTCCAAATGGCGGACACTGCCTCGAAGCATCGAGCTGAGTTTGCCTTTGCTCATCTTGAGAACGAGAGATCTCTGACATCTCTTCGTGACGAGCTAAGGGTAGCTCGTGGTATTGTTGATCGGTCTCGGGCTGAGATAGCTGCTTTTCAGACCCTTGTTGATGCCCACCCATCGGGAGCACAAGGCTCTCTGTGAGATGCTTGAGCGCAAGGGCGTTCTTCATCGGAAGAAGCAGCGTACTGGTGGTACGGCTTAGCCGACCAACGTAAAACGTGGGATGCGTTCGCATCTTACGTGGCAACTCGATCGTGTATGCATTGCCTAGGCGGTGCAATACACGAAATGGGCCAATGTACTTGGGTAGTAGTTTACTGCTACCCAAGTTAGTCACTGCATGCTTTGGTAGATTAACCGTAGACAGTAGGACTAAGTCACCTTTATTAAATAAAAGAGTGTTTGCCCTTCCATTCTTGTCAGCGTTTTGCTTTTGCTTATCCACCGCTTCGGCGATGGAATCTTGCACAAAACGGACTACCGTTTCACGAGCCAGTATGAACTCATCTGCTGGCTAGTTAGCTTCAGTGCGCTGTGAGTGCACTGCAGCAACATCAACCTTTTCTTCATTGAGGGCTTCCGCACTCTCACTGGCATCATCTTCCTCGATATAGATGCTATCGATATCGGCATCAAACGCAATAACCTCTTCTTCAGAGCATGATGAGCGTGAACCAAATTGGTTTTGCTCGCTCGAGTCCCTCCCCCCCTTAAACCAGAGTCACACTCTAGTAAGGTGGGTACTCGCGGATGGCGCAAGCCATTCACGTAAAACGGTGTATGTGTCGTGGACGCATGCACCGAGTTGTTAATGGAAAACTCTACCATTGGCAAGAACTCACTCCAACTCTTTAAGGAGTGTACGTATCCTCGACGTGTCTCTTCAAGGACACGATTGGCGCGTTCTGTCTGACCATCTGACTCTGGATGATCAGATGTCGACATCTTTAAGCGCGTTCCGAGTGATTCGAACACGGAACGCTAGAAATCAGCTGTGAAGCGTGGATCTCTGTCTGATACGAGTTCAAGGGGCAACCCATGAAGTCGGGAGATGGTGTCAATAAAGACACAAGCACAGCATCTTGCTGTGATTGACTCGGGTACAGCCACAAGGTGCACCATTATGCTGAATCTGTCTACAAATACGGGATTACCCGTATTCCCGCGTGCGTCTTTGGGTAACCCGAAGACGAAGTCCATTGAGATGGATTCCCAGCACTCAGCCGGAACCGGTAGAGGCTATAAAGGTGCACGCAGTAAAGGACTTGACTTCACTTGTTGACAGACTTCGCATGCGCGAACGTACTTGCGCACAAACTGATACTGGCGGGGCCAGTAAAAGTCTCGACTCACCGTGAGATATGTTTTCTCCCGGCCACGATGTCCTCCCATAGGAGCATCGTGATACTGAACATGATCCGCAAATGCAGATCAGTATCATCTGAATGACAACACGGTGCCACCAGAAACGGTTGAATAATACAGTAAATCGTTGCGAGTAGTGTATCGATCTGATGCAGATCGATATGCAGACGATAATCGTTTAAACGATTCTCGAGATGGCTGTGAGAGATGTGTCAACAACTTCACAATCTCACCATCTTGGGCATATGCCCGCCTCACATCATCATACAACGTTGTAGATGGGACTGAGGACGTCATAACCGCAACAGTGGCTGTCTCACTGTTGGGTTTCACTACTGGTTCAAAGTCGGGACGACGTGAGAGTGCATCAGCGACGACATTAAGTCGTCCTG